GGGAGCGGGGTCCTGGTGGGAGTGGGGACACTGGTGGGAGTGGGGTCACTGGTGGGAGTGGGGACACTGCTGGGAGCGGGGACACTGCTGGGAGAGAGATCCTGCTGGGAGCGGGGTCACTGGTGGGAGCGGGGTCACTGGTGGGAGTGGGGACACTGCTGGGAGTGGGGACACTGATGGGAGAGAGATCCTGCTGGGAATGGGGTCGTTGGTGGCAGTGGGGTCACTGCTGGGAGTGGGGTCCTGGTGGGAGTGGGGTCACTACTAGGAATGGTCACTGCTGGGTGTGGGGACACTGCTGGGAATGGGTCACTGCTGGGAGGGAGATCCTGTTTGAATGGGAAACTGCTGGGAGTGGGGTCACTGCTGAGAATGGGTCACTGGTGGGAGGGAGATCCTACTGGGAATGGGGTCACTGCTGGGGATGGGGTCGTTGGTGGCAGTGGGGTCACTGATGGGAATGGGGTCACTGATGAGAGTGGGGTCACTGCTGGGAGAGTGATCCTGCTGGGAATGGGGACACTGCTGGGAGGGAGATCCTGTTGGAATGGGAACCTGCTTGGAGTGGGGTCACTACTCTGGGAAGTGTTCCTGCTGGGAGTGGGGTCCTGATGGCAATGGGATCTGCTGGGAGGGGGTCCTGCCGGGAGCGGGGACACTGCCGGGAGCGGGGACACTGCTGGGAGTGGGGTCACTGCTGGGAGTGGGGTCACTGCTGGGAGCGGGGTCACTGCTGGGAGCGGGGACACTGCTCTGGGAGCGGGGACACTGCTGGGAGTGGGGACACTGCTGGGAGAGAGATCCTGCTGGGAATGGGGACACTGCTGGGAATGGGGTCGTTGGTGGTAGTGGGGTCACTGCTGGGAGTGGGGACACTGATGGGAATGGGGACACTGCTGGGAATGGGGTCATTGGTGGCAGTGGGGTCACTGGTGGGAATGGGGTCACTGCTGAGAAAGGATTCTGCTGGGGATGGGTCACTGCTGGGGCAGGGATCCTGTTGGAGTGGGGTCACTGCTGGGAATGGGTCACTGGTGGGAGGCAGATCCTGCTGGGAATGGGGACACTGCTGGGANGAATTTGGGTGAAATGGTCAAATTATGGTCATAAAATACCTAAAAACTCTGGAGAAACCCAGGGATGGATCCGTGCACATCACCAGCAACTATCTCAGACAGGTCTGGAATGGCTGGGGATTGGGGTGCTGGAACTGCCATGGGCCATGGTCAAATTATGGCCATAAAATACCTAAAAATTCTGGAGAACCCCAGGAGGGCTCTGTGCACCCGCCCTGGGGGCTGGAGAAACCCAGGGATGGATCCGTGCACATCACCAGCAACTATCTCAAACAGGTGGGGATTGGGGTGCTGGAACTGCCACGGGCCATGGTCAAATTAGGGTCATAAAATACCTAAAAATTCTGGAGAAACCCAGGGATGGATCCGTGCACATCACCAGCAACTATCTCAAACAGGTCGGGAATGGCTGGGGATTGGGGTGGTGGAACTGTCATGGGCCATGGTCAAATTAGGGTCATAAAATACCTAAAAACTCTGGAGAAACTCTGTAAGGGATCTGTGCACATCACCAGCAACTATCTCAGACAGGTCTGGAATGGCTGGGGATTGGGGTGGTGGAACTGTCATGGGCCATGGTCAAATTAGGGTCATAAAATACCTAAAAATTCTGGAGAAACCCCAGGGATGGATCCATGCACTCACCCTGGGGGCTGGAGAAACCATGCACATCTGTGCACATCACCAGCAACTATCTCAAACAGGTCTGGAATGGCTGGGATTTGGGGTGCTGGAACTGTCATGGGCCTGAATTTGGGTGAAATGGTCAAATTGTGGTCATAAAATACCTAAAAGCTCTGGAGAAACCCCGTGATGGCTCCATGCACATCACCAGCAACTATCTCAGACAGGTGGGGACTGGGGCTGGAATAGCTGGGATTTGGGATGCTGGAACTGCCACGGGCCTGAATTTAGGTGAAATAAGCAGTTCATGGTCATAAAACACACGAGATAATCAGTTAGCTCCTAAATCTGTATAAAATTATCAAATTATGGTCATAAAACCAACTAAAAGCTCTGGAG